CAAACTTATCCAAAAACACTGTTCGTCACGGGTAATAATTGATCCAGACTGTATATTAATCATTAATCGTATAAAAAAATCGAATTATTTATACACTGTACACAATATAATACAGGAAACAAAAAATATAATTTTTTATATGCGCTCTACTTTTCTAACAATAGGTACCTACTGTACATGATACAACACTACAATTTTTTCAGTAAGAAAAAAAATAATGTATTCTTTTTCATAAGTGTAAAGAATAATAATAATAAAGGCACAAGAAAAATTGTATACTAATACACATTATACATATGAGAATTAGGTGTTGTATTTAATGATTAATACTGAATCGATTAAAAAAAACCCATGACTGCATGCCAATCCGAAATAAAAAAATTAATTTGTGCCTAACAGTTAGAGATTAGAAAATTAATTACAAATAACAAGATTAATTGAAACTAGATGGGTTTGCTGGTTTGGATCTATTAGTAAAATAAATTTTAGGTACATTGAAATTATTTAAGTACTGAGTACACTTAGCGAAAAAGATGATCAAAAGGCAAGAGTATTAGGAATCCTAAAAGAAATGAAAACACTGTCATTCATTCAAATATCTTATGTTATGAAATTACTTCTTAGAACCAATCACTGTGCATCAAAATCACTTGAAGAATGTACCATTATATTACTAGTTATCATTGATTTAATTAAATCTACAAAACAACAGCTATATCATATGCGCAATGATGAATTTTGGGATGATATTTAAAAAAAAAAGCAAAAGCTATTGCTACTAAAATTGGTATCAACATGTCTGAAAACAAAAATCGAAGAAAGATTAATTCGAATAAAAATCTTCTAGAATTTTATATGGAAACAACAACTGGTCAAGGTTCCAATAGAAAATCTTCAGAGTTTAGCAAAGACTAGTTTTCAGCAATTGACAGGTACTATTTCTCAGTAGTATAAAATGTTTAAATCATAAATTTTGAAATTGCTTAGGTATATGTATATTTTTTTTTTTAGATTTATCCATGAATTAGATAAACGCTTTAATGATATAAATAACAACATTTTTATGTTATTTTAACAAACAACGTTTTTTTTTTCCAGTCCTCATTATTTTAACTATCCATTCCTTAATGACTTTTTACAAATTTACAAACATTGTAATATTAATGAAATCAATCTGAAAGCTGAATTTCTTAGTGCTAAAAAATTGCTTTCGGATGTTTCAAATAAAAGCCATGATCTCTATTCTATTTCAAAAATATTAGTTCAACTTCCTAAAAGTTACTCTGAAACATTAAAAGTAATAATCATTTTTATGACCTTACCCGTGTCCACTGCTTCTAATGAACGTTTTTTCATGTCTTAAAAAAATTAAATCATACTTCAAACTATGGGTGATGAACGTTTGAATAATTTATTGATTATTACAGTAGAAAGTGATGAAGCATCAAAAATTAATCTAAATGAAACATTTGACATTTTTTCAAGAATGAAAAATCATCGCTACCCTTTAATCACTAAATATCTAAATGTACATTATAATATTACATGCTATTATTTGCTTATTTTAACTGCAATTATCATTTTTATATAATTTATACAGCTATTAATTTTATTTTATTGAAATTTACAATTACATATTATATAGTTACTATAAATAATTAAGATATACTATTGCTTAAAATTTTTTATTAATATTATGCTTATGCCTTATACAATTTTAAATGATTTTATAAATTATTAATTTTATAGTTATAATTATATATATTTAGTGAAATGATGGTGTTTGATGAATATTTTATTTGAAATTATTTTAATAATTTTTCTTTTTCAGCGACTCAGCGTTAAATTTATTAAAGATTACTGTAGTTATAAATAAATATATATATATATAAATTATATATTGGTTTTATTAACAATTATTTATATTTAATAAACAAATTTGTTAATACAATTCGGATACAGATTGGTTTCAGTGGCGTAGCGTGGGTATCGGTCGCCCGGGGCGGAAGACAATTTTACCGCCTTCTTAATTAGGTATTTCAATTTAATATATACTATAAATTATATACATTAATTCTAGAGAACTCTTTGGCCAGAACAGTTATCATTCTTTTGAATTATACAGGTTAAATTTTAAATAAAAAAGTTTATTTGTTTTAAAATCACGTTTATTAATACAAAAATTCTTACTTCAACCATTGATATAACAGGTACAAAGGCATAGGCACAACTAGGGTAGGGGGGCTAGGGAGATTAGCCCCCCATATATATTCCATGTTATACATGGGATACTGCATACAACATAGTCAATGGTTGTTTTACAGGGGGGGTCCAGGGGGTCTGAACCCCTGATCCAAAGTTTAGGATGTGATACATTTTTCGTTCGTGACGTTAGGGTTTTGAGTAGCTATTTATATGCGGGTATACACGCTTACTTATACATAATTCTAATGATTTCATCATTATTATTCCGTATATTTGAATGTTTGCCACAGTTATTTAGGTATTTATATTTCTCTGAAATGTTGACATTTACGATATCTATTATTTGTGATAATAATAGCGTTCGACCGTTCGAAGAATACACATTAGCGGATTAGCACAGCGATAAACTGACAATCACTTTTCACTTTTCAACCGACCGCGATGCCCCCGTTGAACGTATATATTGTAAACTTTTAATCTTGTATAAATAAGTTACCAATTATTATTTACGAGTTAATCAACAAATATTATTTTAATCTAAGGACTAAGATTACCATTCAATTTGAATCAAACTTAAAAAGTATTTAAAATTCAGGTTAGTAAAATTTATAATAACAATTTTAAATTGTTTTTCTTTTTAATTTACTAAGTGTTTATCCATAGGTTAATTTTAATTTTAATCCAAGTAAATTATTTTTTATTGTGAATGTAATTTTTACCACAAGCCAGTCAGCGATTTTAAAACTTTCAGCCATCTTTCACCGAAAATTAATAAATAAAGTACATTTTTTTATCAAAATATTATTATATTATCCTATCAGTTACTACAGTAAATATTGAATATTATTAATGGTTTACACTTTATTTGTATGTATTAAAATATAATGTTTAAGGACCCCCTTCAGAAAAAAAAATCAAAAAACCGCAACTGAGCATACTTAACTCACAATAGTGTTACATACAAAAAGACACATTGTAGTAAATCCAACTAAAATACCTATATTAACATGGTATATAAGAGTAGGGGTAATATACAGATTATCTTAAGTTTTGATAGGACGGCTGTAGTCCCCCAGATATTTTACCTTAGTTGAGCCTATGTACAAAGGTATTATTTAATCAAGCCATCTTCGAGGTGAACCCTAATTTTAAGTAGGTAATAGAACCTACTTATAGATACTAATACTTATTATAACTATCTTATTCCGCTCCAATTTCTTTTATTCTTTTCATTTTTGATGCTAAAATAAAAAAAAAATTGTAATGATAAAAGTTAGAGTTACAAAAGAAACTATCGAACATTTCAAAGAATAGGTATATTTTACACCACATCTGTCTATAGGCAATAATCTGAAAACCGGAAATATTTGTTTGGAACCCTGGGTATGCGATTGTATAACTCGTACATGACCGGATTTTAATAAATTAAAGCTTGAACTACATATCAGACAATCCAACATACAATGACATAAATAAAATATTTAATACTCACACAGTTGAATGGAGGTAAACGTAACGGAAAATTCAAATTTTCACAAAGTTATCCAATAATTTCATAACCACTACACGTACTTATTTGCACAAAAATCACAGTTATGAAACATTGTGAACTAAACAACTGAAGATCCATAAATAAAACTCTTTGAATTGTCAAAGCATCACGTACTTTCTTAAAGGGACGTAATAAACAATATTGAACTTAATATATATGAAACAAAAGTCATTTTCGCTGATTATAAGTCATAAAAAATCCAAGCACAAAATATCATTAAATAAAAAAAAGAATTTCCGAATTCGTCACAGAATAAGTAATGAAACATGCCGTGCTCTTTTCGTTCGGTTCGAATTTATAGTTGCGTTAAAAATATGAAATGGTTCAAATATTTACAAAATATATTTTATTATTTACTGTGAAATTTTTCCGCCCCCTAAAAAGTGCCACCCGGGGCGGGCCACCTCCTCTGTCCATCATCACTACGCTACTGATTGGTTTATATAAAACTGTAAAACAGTATTAAATGACAGTTAGTCTATTTGTTGAGCGTTGCGATCAAATTTTTTTTTTTTTTTTTTTGGTGTAAGTTTCATACTTATTGGGCCGATCATTAATTTGCCCTACCTTAGCTAATATTGAAATGACGCCCCTGTTGCAAATAGTGAAAAAATTTGTATTTAAATAAGAATAAAATGTAATTTTTCTACATTATCAATAAAACGTGTTTTACAATCGTTGGCCAACAAATTGTTTATCGATTAATCGTGAGTATTTTACAATGTACAAATATTCTATACTTTTTTATTTTTTTTTTTAATTAATATTTATTACAAATCACTAAATCCGAATAAAAAAAAAAAAAAAATGAAATTTGTTTCGGGTGAAAGGACCTCACCAAAAGTAATATTCCCCCTCATATTATGACCATGATCCGGCCCTGAGAGTGTTGTTTCACTTTATTTTCATGGAGATACATTATCTGCCTCACTTTTCCCCGGTCACCGGTCGACCGCACATTTTCCACGTAATATTGTGCGTGCGGTCTACATCGTTGACACGTGCATGGAAAACCACCGAACTGCGCCGCAACGACGACGTTTTTCCCATTCGTTTCCGTAAAACAAAAAACAAAAAAAAGGGCCTAACCTGCGTGCTTATCATTATTAACGTTACTATTACGTATCCGTACAACGTAACCGGGCGTCTTGGTAACAAACACCCGGGGGTTTCCGTGCGGTTGCACCGTCGGAATGCCGTTATAATATTGCATTACTAATATTATTTTACCGTGCACACCGGTATTACGTACGCAAACGATTCGCGCACCCCATGCCGAGGGACGCGCGTGCGGTCGACTCGGACGGGTCTCCGCTGTCATCGCGCGCGTACTCAAATGTGATATATTCGTACATGTACGTGTTGTACTATACGCGGTACATAGGCGGTAAGCACTCGGGGTTACCTGAGTTTCCGTGCTTGCGAGTCGACCGGCAGCTACGTTAGTGTCTTTATTTTGTTTTTATAATATCGTAGCATGCGTTCTCGTCTACATGGAAGACGAACAGCGGACGGTACGTACGAATATATAATATGATGTAAAATAAGAACATGTTTTTTTCGGAGTTGTTTTTTTCTTTTTTTTTCATTCACTCGCAACCCGCACGTTTACGGTGAATAGGAAAACATTTTAGTGCGTTTCTCGACCGGATAAGGGTATACGAATACACGTATGATACCTTGTATAATTAATTAATAGTATAACAGCGATAATCAACTCGACTTCTCCTACACGAATCGAATCAAACATTCAACATCCTTCAACTTAAATTCTGCACTTTACATGCCAAACAATTAACTGTTGTAGATTTTCAAGTTCCCGATTTGTTTAATTCTATTTTTTGAAAATTTGGGAGACGAAGTAAAAAAAGTGAGGAAATCGATCTGAACTAGATTAACTCGACGCGAGTTTTAATCAGTTTTCAAAATACTTTTTGCATTAATTCATTGATGGGTATGTGGGAAATAGAAAACATTTAAATATCTATGGTACGGATGTGCAACAAAAAAAACCATAGCTTTTAATCACTTAAAAAACAGTAAAATACCAAAAAATTTAACAAAAAAAAATTAATTTATCATATAAGTAATAATAATATATACATATATAACATTTACGCATTAAATTTTGACTTAGTAATATTTATATTACACAAAAAACAAATCTAATTTTACTGAATTTACAGGAAAATAAAAATAAAAATTATTACGTATATTTTTTTAAATTAAATAAATCATAATTTCTTATAAATTTGGTTTTTTCTTTAGAATTAAGTTTTTCTAGAATTTCTTAGCATTTAACTGTATTATTTAATAATTCAAAAAGAAATAGAAAACAAATATTGTCTACAATTCTTTAGAGTGGAAATATTAAAAAATCCAGAATCTATTTCATATCCAGAATGAGAAAGTCGTTACAACCCTTGTTGTAGGCATATATCTAAATTTCTGGAAAGGAAGGGCTAAAACCCTAAAACCCTACCCCTGTGTACGCCTCTGATAATCGTTATCTTGCTTGGCAGATTATCATCGATTCATTTATAGTTAATCAGTCAGTGCACAATTATTTAAAGTGTGTGGTTACATTCGAGAATTGTGTTTTACTTAAAGTTGTCACAATAATATTTTTCTATTGATATTATTGAACAAATTAAAGTTTTATTTTTATTAATTTACAGATTTGTAAGATTATTCATTAAAAAATTGTATTGAACTGACTTATTTGACTTGCAGGAATTTAATTCCAATACACGTTTTATTTCACAAAACTAAAAATAAAAATAACGTTTGGGATAAGGGACCTAGTTTTATTTCTGATTGCTTTTAGTTGAATAAAATAACTAGCGTGCATACAAATTATATAATGGTTATCATTTTGAGTGGGGTGTAAATCTAGCCCTGCACTCTTCGTTCCCAACCTGATACGTCACAAATCGACTTTCATCAAACAATTTATAATACACGTTCGGATAATAATGATAGGTGTTACATACAAAATATTTATGTATTTATATTGATGCGATTATTTCGAGCCTAATCGCCTTATATTTTGTGATATGAAAAATGAAATTTTTACTTCAACGAGAAACACATTATGTTTATTATAAAAAACTAGTTTTGCACCATGTTAATTTATCATTTCTTCATTTATTTTGAAGAACACTGCGTTATTGTATAATATGAAAAATTTATTTCTTGTGGCTATAAATCATTCTAATGATATCCATTTTAAATATACGTTTGTATATCCTCCTTCTATTTCTTTATACAATTATATACATATAATATACAAACTAACTAATTTCCCGCGAGTTACCAATTCACACTTGTACAGTAGACTCATGATCAGGGCTCGTAAGTTCATGCCCTAAAAAATGCCTAAATAAGCATGCATTTATGCACTTAAAATTGGCAAAATATGCTTTGAAATATGCCTTAAAAAGTTAAAAAATATGCATTTATATGCACTAAATATCTCAAATTATGCACTTAAAAATGCTTACTTAAAATTTTTTTATTTATATTTAATAATTATTTATTTTTGAAATAACATGAATTATCCATTCATTTTTTTTTTATAGCTATATTTTATTATTTTTATGTTACAATTAAAAAAAAATAGATTTTAAATACTATTTAATACTATTCCTGAGCTTCATGAACTGTGTATAATGTATGTCTTTGTCAGTTATTCATTTTAAATCTGAAACTTTTAAAACAAATTTATTCATTAATACTGAAATAACATTAATAACTTAATTACAAAATTTATATTTACCTTAGAAATTACACTGTACTATCAGCGATTTTTTAATGTTGTCAAGCTTTAATGAACGACGGTTATCTGTGACTAAATTTTTGTATTGTGAAAATGACCCTTCAACGTTAGTAGAGGTGACTGGTGCATATTTAAAATACGAAAAATCATCAAGGGTCATGTCTTCGGGTAGTCCTAGATTTGTCATACTTTCCTCATCACCGGATAATATTTTGCAAATTTTGCAAATCATTTTGTAGCCGGCATTACTATTTAGAACTGAATCTAATTTAGTTTTAATACTGTCACTATGTTGCCCTTGAAGTTTTTTAACTATGCCACTTATTGTTTCGGTTATTTTAATTGAATCAAACAATGATAATTTTTTCTCTTGAAGTTGTTTTATGGCCGTTGGTAAACATTCAAAGTTCGATTTGATATAAATCAAATTTGCTTGCAGCGTTTGAGATTTCAATACATCTTGAGCTTTTTTAATTGCTACGCTATCATTTGAATTAAATGATTCGACAACATGCTTAATTGACTCAAAATGTTCACAATAATATATAGCTGCCGAAATCCATGTTCCCCAGCGAGTTAGAATTGGTTCTGGTGGTAATGCTAAATCAGGTTCAAGTGTTTTGAATATTTGTAAGCAATGTGAGGATTTGCGGAAATTTTTTTTCACATTAGCCACTAAATCATCAACAACAGGAAAATGTGAACGAATGTCTTCTGCTACTCGGTGTAATGCATGCGCAAGACACGTTACATGCACTGTTTTAGTGTAAAATACTTGTAAATGACGTGCTGCTTTCTTCATATAAGGCGCTGCGTCTGTTAAAAACAACAGCACGTCATTATAATGTAACCCTTCAGGCCAAATTAAGAACAATGATCTGTCAAACACTTTACAAATAGTGCTGTGGTTTGTTTTATCAAGTTCTTCGACATTAATTAAAAATATTTCACCGGGGCCATCGTGTGACAGAATACCAATAATTGTGTTGACTATATACCTTCCTTCGATGTCAGTCGTTTCGTCCATTGAAATCCATATTTTTTTCCCATAGATAAGTTTTTTGATTTCATTCATTTTCTCGGTGTAGCAGTCATCAATCCTCAATGTAGATTCGACAGGAATATTTTGTCTAGTATACTTGGCGAGAAAACTTTTAAACTGTGGATTGGCAAGCTTGTTTAACGGAATGTTTGCTACCAACATAGCTCTGCATAAATCTAGATTAAAGTCTGACTTTTTTGAAGTTGTAGGCATAAGTTGTTGCAAATTTTTCCGCTCATTATTTTTTTGAAATCGAATAAGTGATGCTTTGTGTTTTTCAGTATTAATATGCTGCACAATACTAAAGCGTTTTTCACTCGCTACTTTTATTTCACAAACCTTACAAAATAATATTTTACTGTCGGTTGAGAATATATTTTCACCAAAATCAGTAACTAATTGCTTTAGTTTAAAGGCCGAAGACGGTTTTTCTTTCGGCATGTTGGATATTATTGTTGGATTTAATGAGACGAACATACACATATTTTTCATTTGCATTTTTGATAGATGCTAATAGAATATTGTATAATATGCCCGATAAAGTAGAAGTATGCATAAATATGCCAAATAGGCAAAAAACCTCTAAATATGCAAAAACATGCAAAATAAGATTTCACATATTTAACTGTGGTACCTTTAAATAGATTTCTATGTCATCTAGCATTAAATACAACTTAGCAAGATTGATATGCAAATGCATGAACTTACGAGCCCTGCTCATGATAATTCGAAAACCTCTATAAATCGAACTAAAAACTTGGTCCCCCTGGGAAAATCTCTATAGCTCAAATAAACCAAATGTATTTCCGTCCTCTCTATAAATTAAAAATAATAAAATTGGAGACGGCGATAAACACTCGGACACGGACGTATTTATATTAACCTTATTGGCGCCGTAGTTTTAAAAGTGTGTGCATTTAACAAATATATATGGGACGATCTTTAAGCCTCTATGTATAAAATATAAATAATGAATTATGAAAATTAAAAGAACTCATTTATTATGTATGAATATAACTTATTAATATATATTTATATATACTTATATACATGCTTTTTTGACAGTATTTTTAAAAACGTATGGTATATATAAGACCAGTGGCATAGATACAATTTTTTTCTGGGTGGGGGAGTTAAGAGTAAGTTTTTAAGTGTTCTTAGTATATCTTAAAACGAAGTCATATGCAATAATATTACATTTAAAATGGTATTATTATTATATCCCATATTTAATGAAAATTATTTTGTTACTCAATTTTTAATATATACCTAATCATAGTAAAATCAAAATATTTTACTATAATATGTAAATATTAATAAATAATAATCAAATATCATTAAAAAAAAAAAATCTGTGGGGAGAGGTGGAAACCCCTTACTCCCTCGCCGTAACTACGCTACTGTATAAGACTATGGTACTTAAAGAGATAAATATATGAATAAATAAAAAATATAAATAAAACATATCTAATGCACCTAAAATAAATGACATATTTGTATTGTAATAAAAATGTTCATCATATTTTTAATTATATAATTTATTTTTCAACCTTATACAGTTCGATAGTTTTGTATTTTCTGAATTTCGAATCATCGGAATCTATTGATTACAATCATGAGGTCCCGGTAAATAATTTGTATTCAATGTATTTATATTTGTACCGGTTAATATGACGTTTATAAATGACTATACGGATGTAATGACAGGTTATTTTCAAAAATAATTTTTCATAATGACTATTTACATTTATTGAATTGAGATTTTAATAGAAGAAAAAAAATCTTCTGAAAATCAATTACGGAACACGAAACTAATAATACCTGTGTAATATTTATAATGGAAATACTTTTCATTTTATTTTTTGCTGTGTTTAAGTCACGATTTTAGTGATTGAAATATAACACAGAACATTTTGTTCGTATACATCAGGATCAGGGATGGGCAACTCAAAGTTACTATAGGGCCAATTTTTAGAAAATTAAAATCCAGTTAATTAACATTTATATACACTAAAATAATAAATTCAATACACACGACAAATGCGATACGAAGAAACTGATAAAGTTGAATAATTCGGTACAGTTATGTTTGAAAGCTATACATATATTCGTACATATTATATGACATTTAGATATTTAACAATGTATAATACCAGATAACAATTATATCGATAACATAGTGTATAGATAATAAACTTTAAAATTGTATGATGTAATTTGAAAATATAGCACGGGCCGGATAAAAAAGGCTCATCAGTTGCCCAACCTTGGTATACATTAACAAGTTTTAAAATGTTTTCAAACATTTTGGTTATCATGTCCAACATTTAAGAACAAAAAGTAACAGTCCCTTGTATGTCATTGTTATTATTGTATTATTACATAATTGTAGAATATATATATATAAATATCTGCTCGCATTAATTTTTATTTTTAACGAACATGTGCGCAGTTAAAGAGATCTCGGATAGAGTTACACAAGAAACACACGGTAGCCAGTGAACATCGATCCGTGCAATGGATACCACAAGTGGACATGGTCACCGACAGTCTGGACATGGCCTTGCTGTCCGTGTACAGTCATTCGGGTCTGACGTTTCCCCGGACCAACGAAGTGTACATGCAAAAAGAAACCTTCGTGCTCTGTTTGAAGTGAGAAACTGAAAACTATAAAAATATTTATCAGATCTACCCTATAATGAGTTGGTATACGTTCATGCATAAAATTACTTTTTCCCTTGCGCGATCTAAGATCTCGCGACTGCTAATACAATGTTAATTAAACATAGTTATAATATAATTATATATATATTAAATATAGTAGGTTTTACTTACGCGATCGCGGTTGGCAATCTAAATCTGTTCGCGATTGTTTTGTAGTTTTGAATAAAAAAATTATGATGCAACACTCATTTTATGATTGACTACTTATTTTATAGATAATCGAATAGGTACCTATAAAGTATTTCATGATAACCTTCGGTACTTCTATTTGTAAATAATGGGCATGCTCTTTTCTTCTGACAAACACCAGAGAAAAACGTTATCAACATCTTCAATTACAAGAATTTTCAATATATTTACTTCATATGCTGTATCAGTTATAATTTAAAAAATTAGGATCGTTTACTCAGTTTGCTCGTTCACACGTCAAACTATGAGTACAATTGAATGATGCAATACAATGATTACATTATTATTCTCTCGATCGCGACGTAAAATGGTCCAATATAAACCAAAACGACACGAATGCGATTTTAGTTCGCGATCGCACAAGGAAAAACGTAACTACCTTAATAGAGATGATAGACGACATGCTCATACCTATTTCAAATGAAAAATAAATATTTCCGTGGTAACATACGACATTAAGGCCCTTGCAAATACGTAATTATTGAGTGCAGTGGCGCAACTAAGGGTGGGGTTTGGGAGTTGAGACCCTCCACCCCAAAATTTTTCTGCGGTTTTTACAAATTCTACGTAGGAAAAAAAAAGATTTATCTTGAAGACGCGAAATGGCTGCTTGATATGAAATATGAATATTATTCGTATTATAATTGATAACAACAATAACATGACAATATAACAATATGACGTTAACAATAGGTATTCACTTTTTGACCAAATTTAAAATAAGCCAATTCCCTTTTCGACCAAAACAAAAATTTATATAATAAATTTAAAATAATAAAATAATGATGTACAATTTTTGTCAACAATTATTAAAATATTAATATAAAAGAGAACGATATTTTGTATCTAGTTTTGATCTCTTATCATAATGAAAATTGCATTTTTTTTCTTCAAAAAATTGGAACTTTAATTATAAAAATTAATAATAATAAAAATTTGCCCCAAGGAGAATTATAGTTTAAGCCAGTGCTTCTTAACCTTTTTCAAACTGCCGCCTCTCCCTAAGAAGCAAAATATTTTTCAACACCCCCTCCCCCATTACTTTATTAAAATTAAAATTAAAATAGTATACATGAAATGTTTATAATTTACTAATAAAATGTAAAATTTATGTTTAAATATAATTTAAAATGATAATTTAAATGTTTCGAAATGTATTGATCAGTGAGATGGTTGTACTTGGTGATTCAAAGTCAATTTTTTTATGTTTGGTTCAACATCTGTGAGATGAAGGCGTAAATCTCCTCTTTTGACGATGTCGAGTCGATTTCTTTTTTTCGCTATTAGATAATAACGCAATACCTCTGGTATATGTAGTTTATATTTCATAATAACGAATTTATTTTAGAAATCGATAAACGGGAAATAATTACAGATAAATCTTGGTACATTGCTTTGAACAGAAAAAAAGTTCACCACCCCCTTATCGCCCAAAACGAGCTCACCGCTCCTTCGTACGCCTTCACCACCCACCGGGAGGCGATATCGCCCTCGTTGAGAAGCACTGATCTAAGCCTATCCTAGTTTTTGTACAAACCTTGATACTGTTGTAAATAGGATTATGCTCTGTATGTGAACCTAAAACCTCGCTACGCGAATAAAACCCTGAAATTATAATATATTATAGTAGTTTCCATCCAAATCAAACATTGTATGTCATTATTTTAAATTTTGGTCGAAAAGGGACTCGCCTTATGACATACCTACATAAAATTTTACAATTGACTATTAAAAATATTTAAATTTATTTCTTTTGCGAAATAACTGCTTAAATGTAAAAACACTTCAATCCAGTGTTTTATACACGAGGGTAAACTATTGGATTGAAAGTACAGTACACCCTCTCCAGAGTCAAAAATAAAAAAAATAAAAATAATTTAAATGTTCATGGAGCGAAGTTAGTAATATCATTGATTAAAATACTAGTACTTATAATATTTATAATATTATAGTATTTTTATTAGTATTTATAATAAATGGTAATATGAATTATTAAATATGAACCTCCACCCCCACAAAAATTTTAAAATATATTACTGCTTCAACTGATGAAAAGTATAGAAAAGTTAAATATTAAAACACGGAAAACAGTTTTCAAAGTGAAAACTTATTTAAGAAATAATATTGGACAATTCCGACCGAAAGGATAGTGTAAAAACATGAAAATTACGACATTGATATTGATGAGGTTAACAGATTTGTAAGACTACCTCGAAAATTAGATTTTATATTATAAAAATACACGTTAAATATTACCTAAAAATTAATATTTTGAAATAATTAAGTTTTTAATGAGAAATAAATAATTCTATAGTTCAAATTGTGCGTACTTGTTAGGTTAGATTATTATAAATATGAAAATGTATGAGCTAAACTCCCCCAAAATATTTTTTGTGTACGCGCTTGTATACAAGTATCTATTATACATTGAAGATTTTACAGGTTAAAGTCAAAAATGATTACAATCATAATTAAAAAATTGTTTAAAAAAAATATTAATACTATCTAATAAAGGTTGAATGTAATCGTTTTTATTTCAATACCATTTAAAATCATTAGTTTTATATTTTTATGTATTATAGTATAGACTATTATTAAAGTTTCTCCAAATGATAAGTGATAATTTATCATTTAATTTTTTTTTTTACTTCAGTATAAATTTTGTTAACAGTATGTTATAAAATATAACTATTCCTGATAAATAAGAAAATATTAATGTTAACAATGAATACAAAGAATTTTTTTTTAAAATATAATGTAGTTGGAATCGTATAACAAGGAATAAGATGTTTATGATCTAAAAAAATATATTAGAATACAAGTATACAATAAAAATATTTAAGTAAGACTAAAAATGTATTAGAACGGTTTAAAAGAATACTTATAGGAATATATTTAAAAATATATAATTAGACTCAAGATATGTATTTATTTCTCAAAAAATCAAAAGAAAAACTATGAGTTAATAATATCCATATACATAACATCCTAGGATCACAATAAAAAAATATCAAAATGGTATAGGGATATAAAGTTGAAGTGGATACTTATGAAACACTTAGTGTACATGTTTATAAAAACTGAGGTTTATTATTATAAAGGAAACAACTAAACAACTATCAACCGGATCAGAATGCAGAAAAACTATTTAGAAATCATCCATTGAAAATGGGTGGGCTTCTCTGTGAACGAAAAAACATAAACAGTATTAAACTTGGATTAGTTGGAAGCCATATTTCACAAACTAATCATGGATACTCTCGAAAAGAAGATGGGACGTTTTACAATTATTAAATCATGTCTGTTAACTATATTTATTTTTAATTTCTTATTAATACTTTCATCATTTCTAACACTTAAAATATATTGAAATTTTCAGACATACGAACAAAATGTTTTCAATTTATTCATGTTATCAAAATTTAGATTTGAAAAACCTTGAAAAACCATATATTGTAGGTAATTATATAATTCTATAACTAAAATAGAAATATTGTATTTATTATTAATTACATACAAGTTGTAACATAAATAGTAATATATTATTATATTTTAATTTACATACATCATTTATTTTATTATACTCTTATATACATACATAGTTTTTGCTTTAATAAGAAGTATAATACAATTTATTGAAACCATTTATTTAATAGGTATGTTATTTATAGTTAAATTTTTTTAAGGGACACATCTATGACAATATAATATACTATGATTATTACATATATAATAAAAGTAAAAATAAATGTTAAACATGATGTATATAAATGAATATAATTAACATTGAATTAATACTATGATTAGTTATACAATGGTACAAGCAAAATGTAATAATTAATCTCATGTTAATCTGTAAATATCAAATGCAGAAGAACATTTTAAGATATTTATATATTTAGATATTCAATTCATTAGTATAAGGACGGCAATGAGAGATTCAAAACATATAATTTTATTTCAGTATTATTATTTTTAACACATAAATATGATTTTATGAAAATAAGAAATTGAAAAACTGTCCAAGTGTTGAGTCAAAATTGAACATTAATTTACAAAAAAAAAGCATATATTAATAATACACCATAAAAAATTGTAAATACAATTATTTTATTAATGTTTTACATTACATTATACTGAAGAGTAAAACGCCACTTAAATGTTGGTTTAGTTATAACTTAACATATTGATTAAATGTTCAGTATGTGTACAATACTTATATTATATAATATTGTATAGTAAAAACAATACTAAAAAGCCAATATTTTTATCAATATAATATTAACAACAAAAATTGGTAAGGAGAAAAAAAAGGAACATTAAGTAGGTACTAAATATTAAATACATACAGTTATGAACTCATATTAAATGAGTTTATGTACATTTTTATGGTGGGAATAAATATATTCAATGAATGTTTCATTGAATAATGTAAAAATTTTAAATTTAAATTTAATTACAACACTTTTGATTATAATTAGTTTTTCAACTCTAAACCTTAAAATTGACCTGACTTTTTTACTCAACCATGATTGTCAGTAAAGTACAATAAAAAGCATTTCAAAATTTAAATGTATATAACACTTGAGATAATGTATAATAAAGGAATTTAATTTGTATTGTATAATACAATAATATTAATAATATTGTATATAATTTACATTAATTTGTAATACTTAATTAGGCAATGAGCCAAGGAGATAATATCGTCATCACGAATTAGGAATTATTATAAAACATCACATAAAAATTGGAATATAACAGTAAATATAAAAATAATTAAATTTTAATTAGTAAAATATATTTGAAATATTACATAAATATTACTGTTTTAAATAGTATTTATTTAATTAATTCCAGTAAGGCTGACTAACATTTTTTTTTTATATAAATTCAAACAAACAATAACATGAATTTAAGAAAAATGCAATCATTTTCTAAAAAGATATCTTATATACATTACTCTTATCAATGAATATTATTACACATTTTATGGTTTTACAAAATTTAAAACAAATAAGGGGTCATTAGTAATAAGATCAATGCATTTAACTAAGCTTTTAATTATAATTGGAGTTAGAAAATATATAATAATAGTTTTAACCAAATTTATTTGTATATTTAGAAAAAAAATTGAAGTTATATAACACCAAAAATACAGAAGTCAGTTAATTTTTGAATAATTTATGAGTACCAACAAATATTTCTATTGAAACTATATAATATCTGTTCATAAAAATACCATTAATGCAGGATATCTCTATAAAGTAAATAAAAATTAAATTATAGATAGAAATGTTATCTTTTAATTTTTCTTAATTCGTGAGACATATATTAAATATATACTAAAATGATAATATATATTGAGTCTATTTGAATACAGTTTAAAACTTAAGAAATAATTTGATACATATTTTTTTTTTTTAATTAGGAGATATAAACATATTTTATCATACCATAACAATTATCATCTTTTTAAGTTTTCCTGGTTACAAATGTAACTGTAGTATTTTCGACATAAATATAACATTATTATAATAACCAACCATAAAATCGATATATATTTTAAAACTAATTTAAATTATATACAATACAATAAATTATACTACGACCAAGATATAACAATGACTATTTTATATTTGTTTTGGTTTGAATTAATCAATGTAATGTCTATTTCCTGGTGGATACACCCCCTTTAATAAATATGAAAATATCAGTGTTAATAAAGTAAGCCCATATGCACATATGGTCATTATTATCTTGGCCGCAATTTCATTTAAATTAACTGCTGAAAATATTATCCAATAAAATAGTTCAACAAATATATATCAATACAACTTAAATACATAAAATATTCATCATTTTTCAAAGAATCGTAAATTAACCTTGTACTTAATATAAAATACTAATGAACTTAAATAAGTTTTATTTACTCGTATTTGTTTTTTATGTTAATATAAATAAATTTAAGAATGTATTTTGATGATTTATGCCCAGATCATTTAGAAATACTATTTTTATCTTTTAAATATTTAATGGCACATATTTGAACGATTGAAATGCAATCAATTTAATGGTGATTCATTTTTCATAAAGCAAATTATTATATATATATATATGAACTTCCCTTGTACTTGAATATTGGTTAAAAGATAAATCACTATCATTAAACAAATAGCAATAAATATAATTTAGAGAAATTAATGAAAAAAAAAAATAATATTTTAGGGCAATAAAAAACGTCTATTTAATTGTTTTAAATATATAATAGTTAATAGTTCAGTTGAGTAATTTATGTTACATAATTTTATTGTTAATTTTGTATTGTTAAATTTATTTTAAAGGAATGTTGATACTTATAATACTAACTTAATTTAAATCAAATAGGAATATATTTAACAATATTTGATAAATTTATATTTAAGACATTGTAATAAAAAACTAGTCTTAGCAATACAAACGATAAATAAAAACTAAGTATTAATGTCTATAAATATAAAACATACATGCATAGATATTTATAAACATTTATGACATAGAAATTTATTTTGTATTTTTAAAGGCATGTGCAGACTTAACATTATTAATAAAACATTTTTAATTTAAAAAAACAAATATACTCAATTAACATATTTCAATACAGTTTTAAAATTTAAATACTACTAATCCACTTAATGAGAGTTGCTAAAAAAAAATTAATAAATGTACATCTGCACAAACTTATAGAGGTATTTGATTTAATTAGTATTTTAATGAATTATATAATAATAAAAAATTAAGTTATAAGGAACTTATGAATTTATTGGTACATTATTTATTATATTTTGATAATAGCATGAATATAAATTTTTTATTTGGTGATTTTAGAATAGCTTAAGAATATTATAGACTTAAAGAAAATATTTAATGTAAAGCTGTGTATGGAATAGTTTTAAAATATAGTAATAGATTTAAAAATAAACCATTTAAGTTCAGTCTTTTCATATCCTAAATAATGTAAATATATTTGATCATTGTAATATATTTAAGCTGAGCTTAAATGTACGAGATGAAAAATTAATTTTATAATATATCTTAACTAGTATAATTAATTCTTATTTTATAGTAACATTCTAAATGATACCCATATAATAAATATTAAAATTATTTAATATATATCAATAAATTATGTTCTTAGATCAAAGTTATATTTTATATAAACCTGGTTCACCAACGCAAATTAAAACTCTACTTAAATGAATACTTAAGTTAATAATCTTAGAGAAAATTAATATTGAAGAATTTATTTCCAAATGTAACTTGAATGGGTTTATATGCATAACATGTGATTACATATTTCTTAAATGGTTTCCAAGTCTCAGTCACTACGTAATTTTGAAGAACTATTACATAGTATTTAATTTGACGGTACTACACAATTTTTGGATGATTTATAAATTCTCAATCTGGAAAAGGGAAGCAAAATAGACGCTATAGATTAATATTTCATGACTTATAGTGTACCTGAGGGGTGCACTTGATGTTAGTTAATGTTGGTTAGTGTTAGTGCTAGTATTGTTAGTATTGTTAGGATTACTACAAGCGTTATTTGAAGCCTTTTTTCGTACTTGTCTTTTCCGATCAGCATATATCAAACACTTCATTTGCTCTTTATTTTCTGCAGCATTCAAGCTATCTTCACTATCTTCTTGGCTATTTTCTTGAAAAACATTATCAAAATCACTGTCTTGATCTTCTTCCGAATCCCAATGTTGCCATTGCCTGTAATTTAAATAATATTAATGCTAAACAATTTATAACTATATTCTAAAAACATAAGAATAATAAAAAAGGGTAAAATATTGATTTAAAAAAATTATAGATTAGAAATAATTAAAAACCACTGTTGTACTACTACAACATATATATATTATACATAACTATTAATACTTTATTATTTAAGTTGTAATTTTTTAATAAAATAGTTTGTGCAATTTGTTTTAAAAAATGTATTATTTTATGTTAATTATACTAATAGATTACGCGATAAGTAAATTGAATTACTTTGAACAAAAATTAGAAGTATAGAAAACATTTTACATAAATATTCTTCTTCTTCCACAGCTATATAGCCCATTTACAGCCATCATTATTGACACAAAATCTCTCAATTGTTTCCTTTCATCATATATATCCTCAAAAGTAAAAAAAAAAATCAAAAGTATTTTTTGATACCTTAAACTATAAAATCCACATCAGATCTATGGACATCCTAATGGACTTTTTTTTTTGTTAATTTTTTTTATGAGAAATTATTTCATTACTTATTCATCTGCTCTTCAGAAATGATTTAACCATTTTAGATGTTTACTTTTTATATATGATATATTATATTTGGCCTATTATTTAACTTCCTTTGTTTTTGAAATTCTTTTCTCTAATATGTTTGTAAAACTATGTTAAGTTTTAAACCATGTATGCTTCTCAGAACCTTCCTCACAAAGGTCATTTGAAGTTTGCTATCTCCTTTGGTTAAAGATCATAATTCAGTCATGTAAGTGACTATAAATCCTAGATAGCTATGATACAATAATGTTTTTAAGTTATGTGACAGTAGTCATGTTCGCTACTAGAATCAAAATATTGGGTGTGCTGAAATTTCTGAAAGTAAAATTAAATGGTATTTAACTGTAATTACTACAGATTATATAGATTTAAAAAAAAAACAGGAGTGCTACATTTGAACTCAGAGGTGCTAAAAATTAGTGATGGGAATAATCAAATGATTCATGATTTAACAGCTTGAAGTGGTTGAATAAATAATCAAATAATTATCTGTAAGCGTGATAGTGAAATGCATTTTCAATCCAAATATAATATATAATATAATATATAAATACATATTAAACAGATTAATGTGGCGATTACCGACACCGGGAATAATACCAATGATTAAAAATAAAATAAATAATAATGCAATACTGATGGAGTCGACTTTTTAATTTAATACTTATGGGCAATGAGTAATTTTTTTGAATAATTCAATTAATTTGCTTTTGATAAATAAGTATGGTACCATTATTTTGATTATTAAATCATTCAATTATTTTGATAATCAAAAAATAATAATTGAATCATATGCTTATTCCCATCACTACTAAAAACCCTAATGTGCCCCCTTAGTTGCACCTATGACAGTAGTTTAATTATGCAAGAGTAGCATCGATTACCACATGCTATTCAATTGTTGACTTCTCCATGCATGTTATTGCTATTTATATTAATGCCTAGGTATTTTAATATCTCACGATTTTTACTTATTTTATATTGTTATATATGGTTATATATAAATATATATATATACTTATATTAATCAAATAAATCTACTTTATTCACAACCTGGTTTTGTTTGAGCATTTTAACCTTTTAATATAGATTTTTCATATAAATATATAAATAAATATGTATTGTTATATTTATATCAGCAATTACCTATAATTGGGTCATGGCTCGTTTTACATTAAAAAAAAAATTCTCATAAACTTAGACAATTTTAACAAAATAAATTAAATATACTTTAACTGAAAAGAAGGAAAATAAATTACTACAAAGATAAAAACTGAAATTAATCACAGTTATAATTTGATTGGTTCAAACTGTATAATTTAATTATAATTAGTTTTTTTCAATTTAATTAATAAAATAATAAATTATTTTTAAGTAGTTTGAAAATTCTATCATTAATGAGATTATACAGACATATATATACAGTAAGAAATAATAACAGGGTGATAAATAAAATATTTTATTTAAATTTTACAAAAAAAAAAAAAAAACATAATATTAACATACGATACATATACAATATATTTATAATTAGATTCAGAAAAATAAGATAATACTTTTAATTGAATATGTATTAGTAAATAAAATATCTTACTTTACTTCCGGATGCATTGAAAATTTCTTCCTTTCATATTGATCATATCTCTCACTTTTTTTCCAAAAATAATAAAAATGAACCAGCTCTGCTACTGATCTAGTTTTAACCTATTTGAAATAAATATTTTAAATTTTTATAAAAAAAAAAAAAAAAAAAAGTATAAAAGTACATAAGTTGTTTCAACAAATTATTTTACTATTATGATTGTTAAATACGTCCCAATATTGAATTGACACATTTTTCACAGCCAAAAAACAAAATTAAAAATTTAATATTTAACTTTTGAACTGAAAATTAAATCTAACTACAATCTGCTAGAATTATTTATTATATTGAATGTACATTGACACATGCAAATTAAGATCATACGTTTAGAAATACTATGTTTAATAAAACAACTATTAAAATGAAATACATTCATCAAATCATTGACCAACCTCTTTTTGTATAGCATGGAAATTTTTCCCATTTACCAGTAAACCCATTTCGAATTTCAGAGTTTCATCTTCTGACCATACACTTAATGACTTCTCCAATGGTATAACATTTAATGACATCCTTCTAAGAGCTTCAGCAACATCATGACCACATTGAACCAACAAGTAAAGTGCCTGCCATAAAATAAAATTTATATAAATACATATCTAACACAGTAGTTAAAATTTTGTTTGACTTAATATATATATATATATATATATAATATAATTTTTTTAAATTATTTAGTAATTTACTTTTAATTAATAAATTATGATTAATATTGTCCTATATTTTATAATCGTTTTATTCAAAAATGTTTGATGTAAAATTTCAAGTTTTTAAAAACAAATCAACAATACAGTTACCCTTATGTTTACAATTTAGTTTTTGTAGATACTTACATTTTTCAATAAATATTTTAAACAGTTTTTTTTTGTTTTGTCAATCAAAACATAATAAAATTATAGAATGACAATTCATAATTTATTATATTATGGACATCCAATTTATAACTGCAAATTGAAAGATTACCTTTTCATTATCACGAACACCAACAGTTTTATTAGTTTTAGGTTTCAAAGCCTTGGTAATCTGCTGAATTTTCGTCAAATAATCTTCAATTAAATCTTCATTCAATACATTTGGATCCCATAACAGTTCATCATTGTTTTCATAAGGTAATACATCACCATATGTTGATAACCCATCCGTTACTAATGCTTGAAAATTCAATCCAACATTAACACTCTAAAAAAAAATTACATTTTAAAATCTTTTATTATATTCTTAAATTAATTCAGAATCAACAATTAACATACTTTCCAATGAAGTTCCCAATGAGGTCTATAGTCTTCATCTTCATCTTCACTTTGTACTTGGTCTGCAATTTTTTTTTTTTTTTTTTAAATTAAAATTTGTTTAAAATATTTAAAGCGAAAAAGTGCTGCAGTAACTGATTAAATTATTTATTAGAGTTAAATAGTTTTGTATACTAAGATAAGTTTAAAGAAACATAGTAATCAAGTTTACAATATTACAGCTAACATAAGTATAAAATTTAATAGTTTCCTAATTAAATAGAAATACTGATAAGAATAATTTAATTAATTTTCATAAGAAATTAAAAAAAAAATAATTTTAATACAATTATGATATTCATATTAATGAATAATTATTACGTCTACACACTTTTTTACAGTCAAAATATGTTTAATAATAATAAATTAAGACAATTATTAATCAAACTAACCAAGTTCAGCCATATATAACTCTAATAGCTTAGATGCATCATCAGTATCTCCAACACGATTTGTTCTTCCATTTTCCTAAATAAACATAAAATAAATTCATTTTGATATAATAAAGTATAATATGATTTTCATATCTTTTAAATTGTACAAATTATTTTAATTAATTATTATCAAACCAAAAGACTAGGACCTAAATATTTTCATATTTTTGTACCCAGTTACTCATTATGAACATGTTTATCTAATTATCTTTATAATTTTTTTTTTCAATTAATAAGAGATAATATTAATCTTATTTACAACTATAAGATACATTTTACATTATCAATTAAAATATATTATGTTTAAAAATAAACTGTTTATATATTGTAATACTTAGCTCATAAATACCAACAATAACAAAATAATTATTATTCGTACAAGTCAATACCTATAGATTTCAGATTAATATTATCATATACAGAACAACATAAGTATTTTTTAATTTTTTTTTTTAAATTGTTTAATGCTTTTTTTTGTTCTTAAAATTAATAAAAAGATAATAATTTTTACATGATTGTAAAATACATCAGTTAAATTAAAAATATAAAAAATCTTTATTTGATAATAATACTAAAAACCTAACTATATTAATCTTGCTTACCAAATTAGAATTTTCGATTTACATAAAAAGATAAAACTAATATGTACTCTCTTAATAATAGTTATTAAAATTAAAATTACTTTTGAGGTTTCTCCAGACACTTTATTAGAAGATGAATCACCTATATCTGTACTTCCATCTACAGAATTATCAACTAATTTTTGCCTGTGATTTGATTTAGCTCTTTTCTCTAGAAAGATAAATTATAAACAATAAATAGTATTCTTTTTTTTTTGTTTTAAATGTATTCATAAACTAAAAATAATAAAATATAGGTATTATGCTAAAGTTTACAAATATCATTAATCAACAATATTTAAATAATCATCTACAAAATTACACTTAGTTTTTTAATAAAACTATTTATAATAATTATATTTTAAAAATTTTAATGTGTAAGTTAACACATCTATTATTGCTGACAATATTAATTATATTCATAAACAGTTATTTATAAAAAATTTAAAAGAAAGCATGAAACAAGTAATAAAAAAAATTATGATCTTGTAATATTTAATTTCACTAAATGTTATAAAAATAAATAATTTGTTTTTAAGTATAATTTAAAGATTCGATTAATTTGAAAAAGTTACTTAAATTTTTGATTAACCAATATTTATACCATTTATGGTCACTAATACATACAAATTATATTATTTTTAATAAATTTATAAAAAATTAACTAAAAAAATTTCAGTTTAAAGTTATTATAATAATCATTAATAAATATTACCTGTTACGTCATCAGATGAAGAAGAAAGATTTTTCTAAAAATAAATAAATAACTTTAATAATTTAATTAAAAATATAGTAAAAATGTTACCTTTCTTTTTTGATCCTTGTTTTTCTGTGATAAATTCCTCTTTTTTTTCTTCTTCCTTTTTTTTTTAGTACTTGTTTCTGCATTAGTATTTTTTGAATATCCGTACATAACCATAAGTTCATGAATAGGCATGTTACTCTCCTATTAAATATTAAAAGAAACATAAAATAATATATAATAAAAACATGTTTTCCTAAAATCTAATTAATTTTAAGACTGACAATTTATATAATTCTCATTAATTATAAGCAGGGCTCAGAATTTCTAGCGAATGCATATTTTCCTTGGTTCATCCTAGAAAATTCAAAGATACAAATATGTTTCACATATTATAAGTTTATAGTGTTATTTTTGGGTATATTTTTACATAATACAGGAAATAATCACGTTTTTTGATAATAATGGTATTTATTTAGTTATATTTTTAAAAATATTTGAATTATTAGAAATAAATAGACTTCATCAAATATTATTTTATAATTTTACCAATATTTGATATATTAATAATGAGTGACGTCATTGTTACCTTATTGTAAATTGCATTAGATTATCAAACATTTTAATAATCCAGTGTGTTTCCAAGGTAAATTTATAAAATAAATTAATTATAAGTACACTTTTATAAATAAATTTAAGTGATTTAATATTTTTGTTAACAGTTTATAATTCAACAAGTCCAAGGATCTATGAGCCCAAAAGTGTGTAAAATTATATTTAATTTTTTTTCTAATAAATTTATAATTATTTCAAGTTAAATGTATTTTTAGATTTTTTTAGTGCATATTTAAAAGCTAAAAAGTAATATTTTTAATGCTACAACTTTTGAGCCCTGATTATAAGTAATCATCATTCATTTAAAATTATCAATTAATAAATAGTAGAAACAAGTAGACCCATAATGTAAAAAATGAATAGAAGAATTAATAAATTTTTGTTGAATTATGTTTAAGAAATAAATATATATTATAATAAAAATATATTGATATGGTCTATATAAATACAACAAATTCGATAATCGCAATATGATGCGTCTATTCCGATAAAAATTTTTTTCCAATAATGCGACAATTGCACACTCAATTGACTACACAATCATTGCAATTACAAAGAAAAGTTGTATGGCAGTTTTGTAGTAACATACTATAGTTAATATTATTATTTTTCTGTAAACTAATACCAATTTTGAGTATTTAAATTAAAATATAATCATAAACTATTCATTTAAATAAACACTAACCATGACTAGTAAACTCCAAAAAAATATGCTTTTGACCGAAAATCTTACCCTTTATTCGTTGCTCCATTTATTCCACAACATATTTTTTTTTGCACTTCAGATATAATATTTCCATTATTAAAATTAACGAAATAAAATATAAAAATAAGTAATATAGCATCATGTAAATAACATAATATAAAAAATTATGTAATATTTTCATATAATATTAAAAATAAGTACGTCGGATAGAGCGTGAGAATTGCTTATGAATATGAAATCAAAAAAAAAAACTATTTTGTTTTTCAGCGCACATCATTAAAATTGACCGATTAAAAACAGGTTGTATCTTTTATGTTGTGTTGCTCAAATTTGTTTCCAGCAATTTGTTAAATTTTAAAATTGGTATCAATCGTATCATATTGCAATTAACAAATTTATCATATTTATTTAGGACATGACACGATAATAAAAAATTTCAAAATAAATAATAAAATAAATATAAAGATGACTACTAAAAAATAATTGAAAAATGATATGATATCAAAAATATTAAATTTTAGTATTTGAAAATGTATTACTTCTTCGAGAAATCGTATTTCCCTTAGAGGATCCTCTAATTCTGGAAGTGCTTCTTCTTCTTCCATTGTAGTTTCATCATCAACTTCATCTACTTGCTCATAGTCCTTATCTTTATTATTCTCATCAACAGGTGGAAGTTCACAACTATCTACTTCAACAACATTATCATCTATCAGAAAAAAAAAAAACAGGAGACATAGATTGGTATATTACATCAAGTTTAAAATGTTGGTGTAATAAAATACATTACTTGCAGATTGTGATTTATCAGTTTTAGTCACAACCTATAAAAGAAAATACACAATAAAAATTAGTATTTAAAAGACAAATAAAAATTGTTGAATTTAAGCTATTATACATTTTAAATAATTTGATTTTTAACATTAAACATAACACCTAATCAAAAAATAAAGGTATTCACAATTTATTTAACAATCCTTTCTTTATATATTATTAAAACGTGAGGCGATTTTTTGGACAGCTATATCTTAAGTTCTATAAGCCTGATTTTTATGATTATTTTTTCAAATGAAAGTACTCTGAGTGCAGATGAACCATCTAAAGAGAAAAGTACAAAAATTAGTTGGTAAAAAAATTATTTTAGTTTAATTCCCATAGTAAGTGAAGGAAATTGTTTATTTTGTATGTTACTATAACTATACATTATTTATATTTATTTAATAATTACTTATTATTTATATATTTATTTAATTATTTAAAAATCTTATTTTTTTTTTTTTTACTGTAACTCGGCATCAACAGGTAATTCAACTATTTTATATTGAACCTAGTTAATACTTTGAACCTACTTGACATTTATAATCAATATCAATTGATGATACATATTTATTGCACTGATTATTTCCTGAATTATCAAAGGCCAATTAAAAAAAACAATAACAATCAATCTAAAGGAAAATAGTACACAACTAGATGTATCAAAATAAAATGTATTTCACTTTAAACCATAAAACTCAATTTTAAAAACTTAACAATATATAAGTTTTGTTTAGTGTGGAATTTGGATCAAATCAAATTAAAATAAAGCAATACAATTTATCAAGAATATTTGAAACAAAACAGGTATAAACAAAAAAATATTAGAAAAATGAAAACTAATATGAAACACATTAATAAATAAAGATTGAGTCAATGTGTAAGAACTATAATTTGACAAGAACAAATATTGAAATATCTACAGAACAGCGTAGTAAATTATGATCGAGTCGCAAACACTTCTGATGTACATAACGAATAACATTTGTCTAGAAATACAGTACTGAGGATGCCGATACTTTTGTTATTAACGTCAACAAAAATCATGTGGACAGGCGTAATCAATATACCTCACATCTGAAGCTATGCACTGGGTACTTAAACTAGGATCAGTCTATGCAGAAGGCTAGCTTGCTGTCACAGGTTTCACTAGCGTACACGTGCAACAGGAAAAAAAGTGTCGATTGAAAAACAACGACGGGGACAGACGAACGGTTGTCGTACGGTCAGTAACGATAACAAACAACAACAAACGGTATTATGGGTGCTATGGGTGCGTACATACTTCTTGGTCGTCATCCATGGTGGCGACGAACGGTGCAAAGGTTCAACGCGTCTTCGGACACGGAGCGGCTGCGGCGGCGATGTCAATCGCGTTCCGGGCGGACGGCTGAAAAAAACACGTATACGTGAGCGGCTCAATGGCGACGGACCGAGTAAGACGCCATGGTGGGCTGATCCGTGGACGGGCTCGCGGTTGCGCACGATGGCGTCAGCGGTACGACGTGAGGAGCGAAGTGAGCGACGGCGGTCGGTAGTCGTTTTGGTGCGAGATCGTTATATTAGTCCTAGGACAGACACGGAGCGGTCGAATGCGAGCAGTACTGCGAAGTTACGAGTGCGCACGCACGCGCACGCACGGGAGCACGAAAATGCGCGCGCACGGGCACGGTCGCGCGCCGACGCACGAACACTCGGGCCGCGCGATCAAACCGTAGCCGCCGTCGCGATGATAACGTGATAACGTTTAGGTCGCTTGTTGTTGTTGTTTTTGTTGTTGT